CTGCCGATGAACGGTAGGTGTAACTCAGTGTTTTTGATTTGACAACAACCCTTTTTGGTAGATAAAAACACTGGTACACTATGAGCTTGACGATTTGTTTCCCCGACGGAGGGAGTGCAAATTTGGAATGGAACGATGAGAAATACGAGAAGCCAGGATTTTAGGCGGCGATGAGATGGTAGAATTTCCTCTAGCAGTATGGAGGTGGGAAAGGGTGAGGGGAATTGGAAGGGGTGCAGCGAAGAAAACTGGTAGAAAATAATTAACACCAACCTCCTGTGGATGAAGGGTTGCAAACGGTGAACATGCCACAGCAAATGGAATCTGTGATGTTTTAAGCAAATCATTCGAAGCGGGCGCCATATACATTGTGGATCTCATAAGCCTTGGAGAACAGTTTCCTGAATAGTTTTCAAAAATTTAGAGAAAAATCAATGAACATTAATCAACACGCTGACGATGGGCGACTCGCGTCTGTCCGCCTCTCGAGACCGCGCACATTCTTCGAGCGCTGGGTCGCGCCTTCATGAACAACAGTGTCGAAGGCGATTTCAAGCAGCAACTACTTTGTCCCGAGCTCGCTTTGGTTTAGACGAACCAGCTTCCGCTAGTCTAGTATATTACAGTAAAGTTATATATATATTACAGTAATTTAATTTATTCTACAAAACATTTAATTAACCCTACGTTTGGTTAATTATTATTACATGGGGTCAACATAAGTAGGTAGTTTGGTTTCCGTTAGGCTGCTTCTTGTAACTCCACTAATTGCACAAAAGAAAACACTAAAAAAATTTCCAGGAAAAGCTCTATCAAATGAGTTCATGTTTTAGGCACCAATTTACAGAACGCCACCACGAATACTAACGATCTCACTGACTTGCGAAAGTTGGAATTCGCCCTTCTCAACACTAAAACGCCTAGTCATCAGAGGCAAAAAAGGCATTCAGCACTAAGACGTCATATCGCCAACGTGTCAACATGGAGGGAAATACACAGACACTTTAACACTGAGGTTTCTCACCTTGATCGACTGCATAAAAATCTGTAGATACAAGAGGAGGAGGATTCGCATGAGGGTACCCTGAAGCAATTTCATACAAATGAGGAAACTATGCCCGTATCATCATTAAGCTTGAGAACAAACCTGTAGGGAATTGTCCAGCTTGGGCTGAGTCTATCTCCATTACTTCGACCTGAACTCCAGAATTAATGGCCTATTAAGGTTGCTGTTATTGTATGTAATTCCATACCGCACTTGGCATCATGTTCGGATCGAGGCGCTGCTGAGGTTGCGGCTGACGAGACTGCATGGAAGGACCACCTGGCATGCCAGGTCCTTGAGGAAATCCAGGCATTCCGGGTGGACCTGCTCCAAGCATGCCAGGAGGACCAGTTCCGGGCATACCAGGCTGACCAGCACCGGGCATACCAGGAGGACCACCACCTGGCATACCAGGCATACCAGGAGGACCAGCACCTGGCATTCCAGGAGGTGCAGCACCTGGCATACTAGGCATACCAGGAGGACCACCTGGCATACCTGACATACCAGGAGGACCA